CTCTCTCTCTCTTCTTCTTCTTGGTTTTTCCTCCAATAATAGAAGAATATATATAGGAAAACTAAAATATTATCTCTAGCCTAACTTTCTAATTAGAATAGGATTCAAACTCCTAATCTTGATGAGACCCAATCTCCTAATCATGATAGATCTCTAATCCTATCTAATTCTCATAAAGTTATACAAAGAATCAAAGACATAATTCCAACAATCTCTAGATTTGATTCCCAAGCCACCTCGAAGATCTACCATTGTCATCTTGAAACTTTGCATCTCCCACTACCGTATTCTATTTCTTTCGCACTTCAAACTGAAGCACCCGCACTCCTAATTAGAATACTTGTGCTCTAACTGGGACGTCTCGTGACCCTTGCTTGTCTCGCAGTGGCGCCTCCACCTCTCTTGTGTGCACCAAGAGATCTTCGCCACATCAAACATCAGAAGCAAATCAATCATGTTTTTCCTTCCAACTTGAGCATGACAATAGCCTCCCCTTGCTTGTTGTCCTTGTGCTCCACCTGCATCGCTCGTCTCAAACTATATCGGTGCACCTTTCCTGCTCTACACTACGAGTCGGATACCTCTATCTCCTCCATCACTTGGTTTGGACCGAATATGAGCGTTCATCATCTTCAAGTCCAATAGCACCATCTCCATCTCTATGTGTGTCACTCAGTCGTGTCTGCTTGCAAACTCCACCTAATATGACATTGCCCTACTCGAGTCTACACACCCACCAACTCATGCTCCTCCAATGACTCCGAATAACTATATGTTGACAACTCTACTGTTAGAATCACGTCTGATTCTCTATACTCGTCTCATCCGTCGCATACTCATTTACCCTAGCTGCCATCTGATCTATCTCGCCACTATCATCAAAACTTTTTAGCAATTTCTAACCAATCTGAGCAAAGTCTTGAAAATCAGACCCTTCCATCACATTCATAGCGCTCCAAAACTTACAAATTGATTCCTGGATCGTCGTATTTCGCCTTCAATTCACTGATCTACAATTCAATCAATCTCCGCCATTGATCTGAATTTAAAAATATATCCATACACCAAAATTTACCAGACACCAGACCTTATGTGTTCACAACCCCACCTGAACTTTGCTTCCAAAGTGAATTATTTTTTTCCTTTGTTGACTCAAAAATTCCAAGGGCCAAAAAGCACCAAACAGCAACAAACTCCACACTTCGAAAGTGAATTCCTTTTTTCCTTTGTTGACTCAAAAATTCCAAGGGCCAAAAGCACCAAACAGCAACAAACTCCACACATGATCCCGGAACCTTTCTCTCTCTTTCCCCCACATGCATGAACAGCGCCCTTGGCCTCTCAATTCAGGCTTTTTTCACCGACTTGCTATATACACTGGAAATCAAATCAACAGAACTCCATCACGGCAACACTGTCTAGATTTGCCTCCATCGGTTGTCCTCCACCACTAGTTGGATCTACTTCTCTTTTTTTTTTCTTTCTTTTCATCTTGATTCTTGTAACGCCACCGATCTTTACTTTTGTACAACGTCTTTCTTACAAACTTGCTCACAGTTTTATCATTGTGGCTCTGATACCACTTGTTGGGGAATTTTAGTCTCTCCGCATACTACAATCTCCGTAACTCGGAAGCCAATTCACAATCAATAAGATAGAAAAATAATCACAATTAAGAAGAAAGAATACAGAGATTTACGTAGTTCAGTCGACCAACTTCAACCTACATCCACGGGACAGTAATATGATAAATTCACTATGTATCAGGGAGAACTACAATAGGAACCACTCAACTCTCGTCTCTTAATCTCTCAACCTCACATACATAATCAACTCTTATACTCTCTTTAAAACTCACACCTTACAATCTTATGAATGGACAAAGACTGTGAAACCCTCTCCTAATGTTGTAATCGTTTGCACGGATAAAGACTACTAAACTATCGCCTCTTGCACAATATTCTTGAATTAGATTACGTCCTCTGTTAATCCTAGATTACAAGAATATTGGCTCCCTCTCTTTTCCTTGATTTTTCCTCTAACAAAAGAAGAATATATATATAGTGAAATCAAAACTCTATTTCTAGCCTAACTTCCTAATTACAATAGGATACAAACTCCTAATCATGATGAGACTCAATCTCCTAATCATAATAAATCTCTAACCCTATCTAGTTCTCATAAAGTTATACAAAGAATCAAAGATACAATCTCAACCGGTTGAGTGTTATAATTTATAATTTTGAAATCTAATGTACTCATAGATTGAGTAACCGGTTGAGCATACTTAGAAGCATTTGCATACTTCTTATAGGGCACTTCATGATGAAAAATAGCACGAGGTTTTACCATTTTGTGTGAAATGTTAAATGTCTAGGAATATATTCTCATAACATTAGTTACTTGAAAAGATTACATATAACAAAAGGTACAATAACCATTTGGATGTCGGCCAATATTTATAATAATGTGGTGGAATCTTGGCGTATTAATTATGGAATCTTGGCGTATCAATCAATACCAGCCGACTAGAAACAAAAACAACGTCATCAGCACATAGGTTGGTTTGGAGAGGTCCGCCTTTGGTTTTAGTTTGTACACCATAAATAAAGTACATAATAATAATAATTGAGCCAATAGTAATGTACATAAATAATATTAAAAAAAAAACCTTTACTTTCGACGACTATCAGATAACCTTCCATTACTTTCATAATATGAGAAAACTTCCCCTTAAGTTTAGGGATCATCAGAAAATTGTCTTAACTTTAAGATTTTATAAGAAAATCCCCTTAACCGTAATTTTTCACATGGGTAATATTACACAATTAGATATTTTTCAATGAAAATTGAGATCCATACTTTGGAACGATTTTCCGATAAAATCGTAAAATTAAAGAAAGTTTTCTGATAACCCCTATACTTTAAAGTTATTGGTGATTCACCCCCCGCCCCCTGTGTTTTTTATGGGGGTACAGACCTTATTTTTTTTCTTTGAAACGTTACAAACAACCTAATTTTGCTCCTTAAGATAGAAATTAGTGAAATTAGATAGACTCTAGGGTCACATAACTTGCACTTAATACGGTTTACACATCATATTAGGAAACAATTTTAGAATTAATTTACATCTATGATGTATTAATGAGACTTGCATAATGTTGCACTATGCATAATTCTACTTGCGTCCACTAGAGAAAAAACTAACCCGAACCAAATTATAATGCACAACCCTTCAGGGGCCTGCATGTTATCATCTATGATATAGTACTATATTCTCATTCCAAAATAAAGTTTTTTTTTTACGAAATTGGAACAAAGCACATGTTTCGGCAAAAATATTACATTTTCGGAATAATATCTGAACAAGGAATCAATTAACTGCACTGCATGACACAAATAATTTCAGTTGTTCTGCCGACCTTACATGAATTTTTGCCTCCCATCAAATTCTATGAAATATCATATGACACCTCCCAAAGTAGAAAATGAATGTGCTTTATTCAACTACAAGCATGCAAATGCACTTTATAGGTTGACCTCCTCGCCTTATTACTCAACATTAATATCAATAAAATAAAATAAAAACGGAATCATAACAGCGGATATGTACGTACTTATAGTTTAAAGCAATGGCCAGCTAAATAACCACCAAATACAAACTCGTAACGCCCCCTGGTTTTTGCTAATCCAAGTCAACCGTTTAATATTACTCTTACACATAAGATATTGTGGTTTTTGCTTATAAACCCAAAGTCTTACTCCTTTTTTACCAGAAATCCACCTAGTTCCATATGTACCAATAAACCCAATGTACAAATATTGTTTATCTTTAAACCCAAAATAGAGAATATAGTGTACAGTTGGGTGCAATAGGGTATATAGCTACATACGAAAGGATGAATACTATATGATATATAGCTACGTACTAAGGGTTTATACAGTTCTGGAAGCTGGTCCTTGGTTTTTTGGCTCTAGGCCATTGGCTTTGAGGCCATGGTCTTCAGATACAAATGTGGATAAATTTCAGGATGTTTGCTATCCTATGTGGGTGTAATTTCCTAATCTTAAATTAAACCTATGGACTCCTACCGGAATTAGCAAAATTGCTAGCCTCATTGGTAATCCGATCACAACTGATAAATGCACAGCTACAAGGGAGAGGTTGACCTATGCTAGGGTCTTATTGGAAGTAAATTTACCCCTAAAAGAGACTTTACCTAATCAGATTACTATAAAAGGGCCTGGGGGTAAGACTTTTACTCAAAAGGTGATATATGAGCTTAAGCCTAGATGGTGCAATTATTGCAAGATTATTGGTCATACATCTGATTACTGTAAGAGGCAAAAAGTCAGAAAGGAGTGGGTACCCATTAATAAAAATTCTGTCACAAAAGATACACTGAACTGTGCAGTAAATGATGCTGGAAACCGTGTAGTGAATGATACTGGAAAAATCTCATTTGGTCAAAAAGAGGATGCAGGAAAAGTTCTTGATCAGTATATGATTAATGATTCTATACCAACAGATCTAACTCACACTGAAGATAGGAGTGAAAAATCTACTTATAACCCTGCCTGTAATGTGCAGTTTTCTGGAAAACGTGCACAAACAGTGGATATCAGCAATTCTGTATCTGGGAATACTAATGTTGACCAATTTTCATCTCCAACTGTGAATGCCACTGAATTTACTAGTGTTTCTAGAGGAAAAACACCAAGGAGAGTTAATAATGCTTCAAGTACTTCCTACTTCCAGGCTTCTCTTTTCTCTCCATTGGATCAGCAAGTGCATAGTCATGACCCCTCTAACATTGATAGGGGTGGTTTGTCTCTATAATGCATTTAGCATTTTAGAATGTTAAAGAATTTAATAAATCCTCTAAACATAGAATTGTGAAGAATTTTATTAGTTAGTATAACCTATCTCTCATAGCACTGCTAGAAACTAAGGCGGTTGAAGGCAAATTACAGTTTATCTCCAAAAAAGTGGCCAAGGAATGGGCAGTATCTCAAATGTCCATCAAGCAAACAATGCTAGAATTTGGATTCTCTGGAATAGTGACTTACTCACAGTCCAATACTTAAATTCTTCTGATCAACATATCAACTGTCTGGTTGAATCAAAAGATGGTAGGCTCTCTTGTACTATTACTGTCATTTATGCCCTTAATCAAATGGAGGGTAGGAGGTCTCTTTGGCAGGATATTCTGACACTCAAAAGTCATATTAATGGTCCTTGGTTGCTGGCTGGTGACTTCAATTCTATTTTGAGTGGCGAGGAGAAACTTGGTGGTGCACCTATCTCAGATACCGATACATGTGATTTTCAAGAGTTTATATCCTCAAGTCATCTTAAGCATCTCAAATCTACATGCTGCTATTTCACATGGTGCAACAAACAAGATGTTGACACTAGAATATGGTCTAGACTTGATAGAGTATTGGTCAATGATGACTGGATTCATAATTATACCTCAAGTCAAGTTGAATTCTTATTACTTAACTGTTCTGATCATTCCCTTGCCCTCTTATCAATTGATGATGAAGAATTTGAAGGTAAAAGGCCATTTAGATTCTTTAACATGTGGACAAATCATTCTGATTTTATTCCGATAGTTAAAGTTATCTGGGAACAAGATATCAATGGCTACAACATGTACAAACTTTTCCAGAAACTCAAATGCTTGAAGCCTGTTTTAAAGAATCTGAACAAAAGACATTTTATGAATATAAGTGAACAAGTCTTAAGAGCTAAAGAGGAGCTTGAAGATACACAAAGGCAACTGATTGATGAACCCTTCAATTCAAATCTGATCTCCAAAGAAAAGGCATGTTCCTCCAAATATCTATGTCTACTTAATTGTGAGGTTTCTTTTTATCAACAGAAAGCAAATATTAAATGGGGACTTCATGGGGATAAATTCTCACAGTTGTTCCACTCTCTAATGAAGAACAGGAGACATCACAATAGGATTTTGTCATTGTATACAGATCAATGATTACTGAAATGTCAGAAATCATTAATGAATTTACTGACTACTATAAGAAACTCCTGGGTACTGCAATACCAACTGCAAAACCTGACCCTGATGTTCTAGCAAATGGTCCTACTCTTTCTTCTGATCAAAAAACTGCTCTGAATCTGCCAGTTTCAAGAGAAGAAATCAAGCAGGCAGTCTTCTTCTCACCTAAAGGGAAAGCCCCTGGTCCAGATGGGTTCAATGCAACCTTCTTTAAATCAACTTGGGATATTATTAGAGAGGATGTTTATCTAGCTGTGGAAGAATTCTTCAAATCTGGAAAGCTTCTTGGTACATTCAATTCTACGACTATAACATTGATTTCAAAAATTCTAAATCCCAAGTATGCTTCTGATTTTCGACCTATTTCCTGTTGTAACTTTGTCTATAAAGTAATAACAAAAATTATTGCTAATCGAATACAGAAGGTTATTGGTAGTCTGATCAGTGATGCACAAAGTGCATTTGTCAAGAGAAAGTTAATATCCAGTAATATCCTCCTAGCACATGAGCTCGTCAAACACTATGGCAGGAAAAATATTTCACCAAGAGCTATTTTAAATGTTGACTTGAGAAAAGCTTTTGATACCATAAATTAGAATTTTATCAGATTCATGCTAGAAGGATTAGGGTTTCCTAACAATATGGTTAAATGGATAATAGAGTGTATTAGTACCCCAAAATTTTCTTTATCTCTAAATGGGTCATTACATGGTTATTTCAAAGGAGCAAGGGGGTTAAGGCAAGGTGATCCAATTTCTTCAGATCTATTTGTGATTGGAATGAAATATTTGTCAAGAAAATTAAATGTTCTCAAGAATGATAGTGCATATAAGTTTCATCCAAAGTGCTCTGGGCTGGGAATCACTCATCTGGTCTTTGCCGACGATCTTCTTCTTTTTGCTAGAGCTGATTTCAACTCCATTTCAAAAATTTATAGTTGCCTTCTGGAATTCAGCAGGGTCTCTGGTCTGGAAGCTAATCCTGCCAAATGTTCGATTTATTTTGGTGGCATTGATGACAACCTGAAATTCCAGTTATGCTCTCATCTTAATTTCTCTGAAGGGATACTACCTGTGAGATATTTGGGCTCGCCTCTTATTTCAAAAAGGCTATCTTGTCTTGATTGTTCTTCATTAATCAACAGGATCTCGGAACAATTTCAGAATTGACAAAAGAAGAAACAACTCTCCTATGCTGGTAGACTTCAACTTATTAAATCTGTCATTTTGGCTGTGTAAATTTTTTGGACTCTTGCCGATTAAAGTTTTACAAAAGATTGATAGTTTATGCTCATATTTCCTCTGGGATCATAAGATTCATCTTGTATCATGGTCACAAATCTGTCAATAGAAGAAGAAAGGTGGCTTGAGACTGTTCTCTGCTAAACTGTGGAATTATTCAGCAACTTTCAAATTGTTATGGATGATCCACATTAAGAAGGACTTACTCTGGATTAGGTGGGTTCATGGCAATTATCTACGACAGTTTGATATTTAGCATGTTCAACCAAAGGCAGCCAACTCTTGGATGTGGAAGCAACTCTTAGGAGTTAGGGATATGGTGAGAAACAAATTCGACAATCTGGCTAATCTTTCCAGCATCATTAACAAATGCCAAACTAATGGTAAAATCCAAACCTCCCAGATTTACAAGTTGATTGTCGACCCTCCTCCTCTGATTCCCTGGGCTGACACTGTATGGGAGGGATTTAACTATCCTAAACACTCATTTGTTTTGTGGATTGTATCCCATTCAAGGCTATTAACTCAAGATCGATTATGCCGAATGAGGATCATTAGTATCAATCAATGTGTGCTCTGTCAAGCTCAACGTGAATCCTGTCAACACTTGTTCTTTGATTGCCAGTTTTCAGCTCAACTTTGGAACAAAGTTATGGACTGGCTGAAATTTTCTAGGAGGTCATGCAATTGGAGTCATGTTATCAGTTGGTATTGTTGCAATCTTAAAGGCAAAGGTTTTTTGAAGAGGATTAAGAGAATGACACTTGCTGTCACGGTGTACATGATTGGAGAGAGAGGAACTTGAGAATTTTTCAAAGTAAGGCTACAAACATAGATTTCCTCTTTCGTGAAGTGAAGATGTCCATCTACTCAAGGGTTTTGAATCATAATCTTCTTTTACATTTGAAGGAAAAGCTTGAGATGTTGTAATAATTGAGGTGTATGTGGAGGGTTTCCAGGATTATTACCTGGCTATAAGGATGTATGATATAACTGCTCATTTGGTTATGAATAAAATTCATTCATTGACCAAAAAAAAAGGGTTTATACAGCTACATTTGCAGGGTGTATAGCTACATACTAAGGGTTCAGGGAACATATAGAACTAGGTGAGTGTTTTGGCAAATGGAAGTAAAACTTTGGCTCTAGAAGCAAAAACGCCTAAAATTTATTGGTACCATCATGAGAAAATGGTTTTTTTTCTCCCCTTTTAGGATACGTACGAACAACAGCTTGATCTTTCTTCAACTTCTGATACTATTCCTTCCGAGGTAAGCAAACGGCGCAGGTCAAATGCACACATGGGAAATGCTGTGCTTCGCACCAAAGTTAAAGAGGAGCGGCAGTACAGTGTTTGTTGCAAACCAAACCCTTTCAAACCCTTTGAATCTTTTACATGCACGTTCACGCCTCAACGCAGTTGCGTATGGTAAAAATCTATACGCCACCGATTAATATTTTACATTCGGAAATTTTGACATTTATCGGTTGCGAAAGCACGTTGGTCAATTTCCTAACAAAGCACATCGTCAATCAGAATCGCATGGGCATGAGTCACAAATCATTTTTTGTTAGTACGACTCCACAAGAAGCTACTACGTACAAATTCATGCGTTCAACTCCCCACATGTGAAACCAAGAAACCACAACAGCCGGCCCCGCGTTGGCTTTTCCCTCCTCCAGGATTTAGGGGCTCAAAGCATAGCCTTGTCCATAACAAACAAACAACCAATCATGTGCTCCTAGTCCTAGATGTTCAAAACTAAACCTTGACGTATATGATCATGCATTAATTCCTGTTGTACCGCATACCCACATGGTATCCATCGCTAAACGAGGTTAAAGCTTCGTAGTAATATGTTCCCATGACATGAATATCACGTGACATCGATGTGTTGCAAATGGATACGTTGAGTAAACATACATCGGCTCTGTTTGGCAAAACTAGCTGAAAGCTGCGAGATTATAACTGAAAGCTGTTAAGCTAGCTGAAAGCTGTGAAATTGTAACTGAAAGCTGATAGCTGTGTAGCTAGCTAATTGACTAGAGCTGTTTGGTAAAAGTAGCTGTACAGCTAGCTTAAATTTGTTAAATGACTAAAAAGGTCATGCAATATTATTGATATAAAATTAGAATTATTAGGGGAAAAAAAGAAAGAAAAAAAATTGGCAGCTCCTTCCCAAAGACAAATGCCACTTGAGATAGCTTTTCAAAAGCTAATTGCAAAAGACACAATCTCCAAAATAATCTCCTCTTATTTTTAGTCACCAAACGGCTCTACTAGCTTATTGACCAAGTTAATAAGACACAATCTCCTAGATAAGACACAATCTCTTGCTGCCAAACAGTGCCGTCCTCCGTACTTCAAGATTAGGCAACGAAGAGATAATTTTGTTGGGATCGAACATAAGGCAATCTAAATACTTAGCAAGTGACTAAGTACAAGAGGCACACGTACCCTCAATCAATTACAAAGTTATGAACCAGTAGCAAAAGGTTTTAAGATTCTATTCGTTTGTCATCAACGCCTCTCGTCCATTAACAAAATCAATTATGCATCCACCGCGCTTTGAGCACACATAAAGTCTATACAAAATATACCCACTCGCCTACACACGCACAAGCTGAGATATATACCCTCACCTTTCTATGTCGGCCCAAGTCGGACTCAAAAAGCCCAAAACAAAACTGACACAAACTCCCTCGCGAAATTGAATTAGTCCAGAAACAACCCCATTAAAGCATATCACCTTCTCCTCTCATTTTTATCACGTTTGCGTCTACGTCCCTTTCAAAGCTGTAATGCAACGGCACAATCCCCTTCATCCAAATCTATATAACAACGAGTTATGAGCACACAAAGAGATCGCCAACCCTCCCATCACTCCACATCTCTATAATTAATTAACCTCATGGATCTACTCCAAGACTGGCCGGAACCGATAACTCCGGTCCAATCGATTGCCGAGAGCGGGGCCCACGTGATCCCGGACCGTTACGCGGCCGTTGCCCGACTCTGTGACCGACTGCTCTGGGCGGCTGCTGAACATACCGGTCATAGACCTGGGAGGCTTGAATGAAGGCGTGATAGAGTGTCGAGCTACTATGAAGGCAATATCGGACGCGTGCAAGGAGTGGGGGTTCTTTCAGGTGATCAACCACGGCGTAAGTTTAGATTTGGTGGCGAAGATGAGGACGGTCTGGAGAGAGTTCTTCCATTTACCGGTGGAAGCGAAGAAGAAGCTCGCGAATTCGCCCAAGACTTACGAAGGGTACGGGAGCAGGCTCGGGGTCGAGAAGGGAGCCATTCTTGATTGGGGAGACTACTACTTCCTCCATGTACTTCCTGAACATGTCAAGAACTATGATAAATGGCCAGCAAATCCTGAATCCTGCAGGTACATACCAAACATATTTATCTTTTTCCAGTCTGTATCGTCGCAATGTAACTCACAAACGTAAACACAAAACTTTGAATGAATAAACAGGGAGATTACCGAGGAGTATGGGCGAGATGTGGTGAAATTGTGCGGGACGCTGATGAAAGTATTGTCGATAAGTCTGGGCTTGGATGTGGGATATCTGCAGAAGGCATTCGGAGGAGATGAAGTCGGAGCGTGCATTAGGGTGAACTATTACCCGAAATGCCCGCAGCCTGACCTCACCCTCGGCCTCTCTGCGCACTCTGACCCTGGCGTGCTCACAATAGTGCTCGCTGATGATCGAGTCAAGGGTCTCCAAGTTCGAAAGGGCAATGCTTGGGTGAATGTGCAGCCTGAACCTAACGCATTCATCGTCAATATCGGTGATCAGATGCAGGTACCCCGTGTATGTCTGTGTGCATGCGAATGTTCTCTCTCTCTCTCTCTCTCTCTCTCTCTCTCTCTCTCTCTCTCTCTCTCTTTTTTTTTTTCTTTTTTTCCCCCTTGTGTGTGTGTTCTCTCTCTCTCTCTCTCTCTCTCTCTCTCTCTCTCTCTCTCTCTCTCTCTCTTTTTCCTTCTCTTTTTGCCCCCCTCCCCCTTCATTGTCTGATATCAAAATCATATGGAACCTGTGTTGGGAGAGAAATCGGGCTCAATCTAGAGTTGATGAGTCTCTTAAACAGAAGTTAGGAATCAATTTTAACCTAAAAGCTATAGCTATCAAGTATTGACCCAAACTACTATTTCAACCCATCACTCTCTCTTATCTTATCCTACGTGGGACTATACTCACGTATTAATCACGTCAACAACATGTACTTCTACAAACAAAGTAAGAAGGGCATGGTGGTTGTAGGCACAACCTCAGAAATCAGAATGTCTACATGTATAAAAGCATCTCTTGTTCTTTTCTGCTCTAAGTTTGACCAATCCAATTATCGTAGTTTTTTTTCTTTATGCATTAGTTTAAGTTTGGGTTTTTTTTTTACTTTGAAAAAGGAGGTAACCCGGGTAAGTTCTTTAGGATAAGTCAAGAAATTGGACAACTCCATAAATTTCAAAGCACGTGCTCCTTCTGTTCTATTCTCCCCTCGCAGATCCCCAGGCCTAACTTTTAGGGGCCTCAAAGCCTATACTAGTAGAATACAAAGCACAACTATAGGGCACTGGCTATAATACAAAGTAGGCAGAGTTGACACTAGTATAAAATGATTTCTTCCACTGCCCACATGCTAACTGAGCCCACCCACCGCTAAAATTAATATATAATATAATTGTCAAACATGATTGAAGCTAATCACACGTAGATTGCACTTTTTTTAAAAGGATTGAGTGGTGTGCTACTTTACGGCATAATATTTATTCGCAATAACAAATTCTGCTTTAAATGCGTGTCGTGCGGAATATAAATCTAAATTCTGCTTTAAATGCGTGTCGTGCGGAATATAAACCTGGATTGCTCTGATAACATCTTTCTTAAGATAGATGTTATGCTCTTTTAGTTGCTAGCTTTGTATAACTGATGGATTCCTAATGTTGACGTCAGGTGCTTAGCAATGCGATATACAAGAGCGTCCGTAGCATAGGGTGATGGCCAGACGCATACGGCGGAGAGATTCTGCGTCGTTTTGTTCTACAACCCGAGAAGCGATCTCCCGCTGTTCCCGGCTCGAGAGCTTGTGACCACCGAAAGGCCTCAGCTCTACCAGCCCATGACCTTCAATGAGTACAGGCTTTACATCAGGAAGAGAGGGCCCAAGGGGAAAACACAAGTCGAGTCCCTCAAGGCCATCGATGTATAGTTTTGGCTAGCTAGCGTTGGCCCCTCGTCGTTGTACATTTATAATCCAAGGATTATTTTTGCGTATTCGCAGCGTCGAGTTTCACATTCCTGTTCTGAATTTCCCTAAGACGACTCGAACCACCCGTGTTGAAGTTTGGATATGGTCGGTTTGCTGTGAGAACAGTGAGATATAAATAACATCATTGCTCATGTCAGTGCTTTGCGGTGTCCGATTGTACTTCTTACTTGTCAATGTGGTAGTTATGCTATTTGTGTCAGGGGTGGCACTAAGGGCACACCCTCAACCACACCTCCAACCACACCCCCTCTCTCATTTGCTACAGTACACCGGGACCCACATGAGATTTTAAAATTTTAAAATCTCATGTGGGTCCCGGTGTACTGTAGCAAATGAGAGAGGGGGGTGTGGTTGGATGTGTGATTGGGGGTGTGCCCCTATCATTTTTCTTGTGTCAGGATAAGGGAAGTTGCATGAGGGGGCCCACCGAAGCCACACTAGGAAATGGAGAAAACAGAAAAAAAATTCTAAATAAACTCATTCATATTTTTTTTCCCTTAAAATAGACCCTATTTTATCTTAATCCGGTTCTTAAATAGTCAGGATTGCCAACCCTGACTATTTTAGGAAGTTGTAAACCCCCAATTATAACCCTAAACCATAACATTTTATGTACTAAATAGTCGGGGTTGGTAACCCCGACTATTTAGAAACCGGATTAAGACAAAATAGATCTATTTTTGTAAATAAAACTCAAGAGGTCTATTTTTAGAAAAAAAATTATGAATGGGTTTGTTTAGAAAAATTATTCGGAGAAAATAATAAGAGCACGCGTTTGCATCGTCGTGGGTGGAAAAGGTTGGTCCAGTTCATGACTATTGAAGCTATACCACAGCTATAACTAACGGTGTCTGCTACAGAGGAAAACAGTAGCGCACGTGGGGGAAAATGAAATTAAAAGGAAATTGGCATCTTGCTTCATCTTCATTGGCCTCGTCTCAAAAGTTTGATTTAATAAACAGTGATGTGATAGGCACCCTTTGAACCCGGTGCCTTTGTTTTACTTATTCCTTGTAAGTGTGCATTTTATGAGTGATAAACGTCCAAGTTATTGTTATGCGCGGCGGAACAAACACAAACACCGAGAGAGAAAGCTAAAACAATCTAAAACAACGGCACTAATTCAAACACAAAAGTTTAACGTGGTTCGGCAAATTACCTACGTCCACAGGACAAAAAGGGATGTGTTTCCACTACAGAGAAAGAGAGTACAAAGTAGAGATTACAAGATCACTCAACTAACCTCTTAAACAAATCTCTCAAATCTCTCAAACTAAACCCTCAAACAAATTGCTCAGAAAGATCTCTCTTTTCTGTGCTCAAAATCACCTTCAAGCTACCCAATCAATCGATAGAAAATCCTAAAAACGTGGCTTTATTTATCACAAAATACAATCCCAAACAGATTAGGATTCTAAAAACGAGTCTGTCACACCCTGGTGTGGCACACACCACACCCATGATAAACATGACAGATTCTGCCACATCATGGTATGACAGACACCACATCCATGACAAACAGGGCAGATTCTGTCACACCCTGCCACCTGGGTGTGGCAGACACCACACTAAGGTGTGGTGGAGTCTGTCTTGCTTATTTTTCACGTTTTTCTTAATTCTTTTCCTTAATTCCTTCGTCGTTTTCTCGATTCTCCACCTCGACGAAGTTTTTCCAAAAACTGAGCCAACATCAACCAAATCAAACGTCTCACTTGTTGCGTCCAGTACGAAGTGGAACAAAACCACGACAACGAACTCAATCCACAACAAGTCGAGATCCAAACGAAAATGTGAACACTCTCCAAATATCGGTATCAACTCACCAACCCGGCTGCATCAAATTGACTGCCTACGTACCCCTTCTCCCAAGGGATCAAGCCGTCCGTAGTTCATCAAATGGCCTCCAAAGGTCCTCAATCAAATAGAAAAGTTTGCAACTCTTTACCAATATTACCAACGAATCTGCAACTGATGACGCTCCCAACGGTCTCAAAGTGAAACAAATCAAACACCTCCACCTGAGGTAAACCAATGGTCGTATCCAAATCATATCCACCAGCTGCATTCGAATCAACCAACTCATCATTTGCACCCAAATCCAAATGATCCCCTAACTGTGTCACCTCAACTGGAATCTCAAACGATGCAATATGATTTGGAGTATGTGGAGTAATTTCCATCCAATGTGGAGTAGTATCACTCTCCACCCGCTACGATACATCTAAGGTCTGTCCAAAACTCTCCACCTACTGAGAGTCAATTAGCTCCCTCATCGAAGCCTCAAGCGGAGTGATACTACCAGACCAAACATCCAATTGAGTTTTACCTCCAATCGCAGCAGTCGACAACCTATGACTAAGATGACCCAAATATGTCAAAGCCTCAACACCAAAATCAATGCTCGACATCAAACGTCGGTCCTCCTCCAGTAAGGAACAACTCACCAAATCTGTCATCTCATCTTGTTGTCCCATGATTTCCTTTCCACCAAAGTGTCTCAAAATGTCGTGAGCTCGGCTCGAATGCAAAAACAGGTCCCTCTTGTACCTCAAAATCAGAATGAAGTACCTTCACCTTTCTGCCAATCTCATACTTCTTCAATCTGTTGGAGACTACTAGGACTTTATCCAAAGGGGATTTGGTTGCAACCCAAACACGCCTAGAACAGCCACCAACAAAGAAAATCAAACATCTATTACCTCCCAATGATTCCTCCTTGGAAGGCCCCCAAACATCCGTGTGAACTCCACCTAAAAGACCCTTAGTGCGGTGAATAGAGATGTCAAACTTCACATCGGTCTTCTTGCTCACATCAAAGCACTAGACTTCAAATTACATGTCTGTGCACCCATCTCCAAATCAATACTGGAATGACTAAGCTCCAAATGCCGTAGTCTAGTCGAATTAACAGAAGTCGCCAACCCTCTACCTGTCACCGAACTTCCAATCAAATGGTACATGTTATTCCTCCTGACGCCCTTCATCACAATCAAAGAGTCTTCCACGATCTCGAGAACTATGTCCTCAACACGAACCTTCAGATCCTCTCCAACCATAGCTCCAATTGAGATCAAGTTCTTCCTCAATGAAGGAACATATCTCACACCATATAACTCCCTAACTGTCCCGTCAAACATCTTGATGCGAATTCTTCCTATCCCAAGGATCTGGCATGCACGGTTGTCACCCATGTACACCACACCACTATCCAGTTTTTCAAAACTAAAAACTCATTCATTTCTAGGGCACACATGATAGGTCGCACCATTATCCAACATCCACTCGAATTCCTCTGAATAGCTACCTGTAGGACTGATAGAAAGCGAATAAATAGAAGTATCAGAAATATTATCATCCGATATAACGATGTTTGCTTCTGATGATGGTTGCTTCCCTTTCCCTTCTGCTTATTCTTTATCCATTCGTCGAGCTTTGGACAATCTTTTTTCCAATGACTAGTCTTCTTGCATCAAGCACACTGATCTTTTCCAACTGTAGGATGCCCTACTCTAGACTGTGACTTCCAATTCTTTCGGTTTGAATTCTTCCCTCTTGCGACCAACGCCTCCGCTACTATGCCACTTGTAGACTCCTTATCTTTCTTTCGAATCTAATAATTCACAAGTACAGCGGTGACCTCACTATACAAAAGAGATGTCTTCCCATTGATAAGAGTAAGGACAAAAGTCTCATATTCCTTGTTAGGCAAGGAACTCAACAACAATGTCTTGTCCTCATCTTCAATCATAACATCTACATTCGTCAAATCCGCAAGAAGCTTCGTGTAGTGGTTCATGTGATCACCAATGGAGGTTCATTTCTTCAATTGGAAGCGATAAAACCTCCTCTTCAAATGCAAGCGACTCTCCACACTCTTAGTCAAATAATTGCTCTCAAGGATCTCCCAAATCTTCTTAGCTGAAGTCTCATTGATCACATCATACTTTAAATCTTGAGTCAAACAAGACATAATCACATCATACGCCGTTCGATTCATCTTCTTTCAAACCCTCTCATTAATATCATCTGGCTCGCCATCCAATTCTAAAGTATCTTTCAAATTTTACTCGTTGAGCGCATCCAAAACTTCACATCGCCAAAGTCCAAAATTGTTAGTGTCATTAAACTTCTCCACGTCTATCTTCATAGAGTGAATATTCAAACTTTGGACGGTCTTCACACCTAAAATACCCTCCACAACTCCTTCTTTCCGGGTCATAATTCCTCAAAGCACCAACAACCAAAGCAGAACAAACGAAGAATAGATCCAAAACTGAGAAAAGATAAAATTTTTACCAAAAAAATCTCACATTTAACTCCAAACGAAGCCCTAGCCGAACTTCCAAAGTGATCTACTCCTCCAAATAGCCCAAGCGTAACATGAGCTCTGATACCACTTGTTGTGCGCGGCGGAACAAACACAAACGCCGAGAGAGAAAGCCAAAACAATCCAAAATAACAGTACCAACTCAAACACAAAAGTTTAACATGGTTCGACAAATTGCCTACGTCCACGAGGCAAAAAGGAATGTGTTTTCACTCTAGAGAAAGAGAGTACAAAGTAGAGATTACAAGATCACTCAACTAACCTCTCAAACAAATCTCTCAAACACAAAGTAGAGATTACAAGATCACTCAACTAACCTCTCAAACAAATCTCTCAAACTAAACCCTCAAACAAATTGCTCAGAAAGATCTCTCTTTTCTGTGCTCAAAATCACCTTCAAGCTACCCAATCAATCAATTGAAAACCCTAAAAAACGTGGCTCTATTTATAACAAAACACAATCCTAAACAGATTAGAATTTTAAAAACGAGTCTGACATATCCTGGTGTGACACATATCACACCTATGGTAAACAGGGCAAATTCTGTCACATCAGGGTATGGCATACATCATACCCATGGCAAACATGACAGATTCTGTCACATCCTGTCACCTGGGTGTGGCAGACACCACATCAGAGTGCGATGGAGTCTGTCTTGCTTATTTTTCACGTTTTTCTTAATTCTTTTCCTCAATTCCTTCGCCGTTTTCACAGTTATTAGCAAGGGGAGGACGGTGAAGGCAATTAAAAAGGATATGGTATGTATTCATGTAACACAGAAGTTTCATTCATTAGTAAAACCAGGGGCGTAGCTAGGGCAGTCTTGCTCTGGGCAGCTGCCCAGGGCAAGAAACTGCCCCACTTCACCTCCCCCTCCCGCCTCCCCTCGCTTTTCTTCTTCTCTGGCCACTGGGCAGCTGCCCAGGGCAAGAAACTGCCCCACTTCACCTCCCCCTCCCGCCTCCCCTCGCTTTTCTTCTTCTCTGGCCACTTCACCTCCCTCTCCCGCAGATCCAACCTTCTCTTCCTCCTCTTCCAGGACCTCCATCTCAACAATCCCTAACCCTCCTCCCTCTCCCGCCCCTCCCTCCTCTCCCTCACCGAGCTCCTCTCCCTTCTCCGTCGCTTCAAGTCCATCACCGCCGACCATCTTTATTTTTCGCCCAGGGCAAAAAATATTTCTGGCTACGCCACTGAGTAAAACATATCGAATAAAATGATAGCATGAGTTTAAGCTTAAGTACTTACTAACATAAAGCAAGAAAGTTTGAACATTATGATTATCTGGTAGCATCATATAAATTAAGTAGATGAGAGAGAAAAGGAAATGAAAACACAAACTACCAAAGGAACATGAACGTTTCTAAAAAATTCACAAGCCTTGGAGAGCCTATTAGAAGAATACCCGAAATATTTTTCCCGATCTTTATAATTCATCTCCTAAAATTTACCTAAAAAATCAATCTCTCAAGATCTATCTGAAATTTTCAAAAAGAAAAAGCCTATAATTGAAATCCACTCGTCATCGAAGAGAAGTAATAATGAGAGATAGATTATCAATTTCTATTTCTCTTTTGTTATTCTCTTCTTCATCTTATCTTCATAAGATTTTCTGTATCTTCATAAAGCTACATATGAACCCTACATATAAGATTAGACTAGCCTTCTAGATTTTAATTTCAAGCAGTTCATAGCTGTTCAAAACTCTATCCATAACAATTAAAGATAGAATAGAAATGTTCAAAAATGTCACCCATACAATTAAGGGTATAATAGAATTTGTATTGCATATAAACCTATTCTAATGACATTAGTGAGACCAACCGGTCCCGTATCGAGAACCAATTATTAATCAAATTAATAATTTTAATTTAACAATCAAATCTCTATCCGATCAACTATTCATAAAAGCTCTTTCATAATATGGGATTTGCATTCAGTCCTCTCCAATATCATTTATTTTAGGCAACTCTTTTGAGTAGGACAATTAACCTATTTGCTCATGCCTAAATTGTAATTTTCATGAACATAAATAAAAATTATTTTGAAACATCAAAATATTTTATTTTTTATAAGAACATAAATTTTAAAAAATATTTTCCAAAACCCCACCGACTGGAATTTTATAACTTTATGGAAATGCATAATAAATTAACTCATCATAATGAGCATATTGGATCATATCTAGATATCCATCATTTTCCTAAATGAAATCTAAAAACCCAATATTTCGAGTTGTATAGTGCTTGCTAAATAAGCTTAACCATCATATCAAAGCATACTAAATTATCAAATCGATAATGGTAATATCATTAAATCAAAGGGACCATATAACAATTTGAATTCTTCATCTCCTATGCTAGAAAATTCAAATATGGTCTAGTGCTACACACATCATAATGTGTGCTTATGATATACACCCGGGGGAATGCCCATTCTAGGTGGTTGAGACCCACCACCACATCTCACATATCAGTATCATGCATAATAACCTGTTATAATAAAGTTATCTTTTACTAATTATAAGTTAAGCACTAAGTTAGATCACATCTCTAAGCAAGTGATCATCACAGTGCATGATCTAACAAAATAATTTCTAAGGATACTATAACAATTATAGAAATAATACTCAAATTATTGTTCAATAATAAAATCTTTATTAATATTCAAAAATATAACATAAAATGTATTGGATGTTCAAGAGCATATTATTGCTATTCCAGCATGACCACACCTAATTCATTCCAAAGGTCATGTTTTCATGTATGCATTATTATTTAATATAACACGGTTTCAATAATAAAGTTTTCTAACAATACTGCTATATGGTTTTATATGTATATGTATGTATATGTATATGAGAAACCATATACCAGTCCTGTTAGAAAACTTTATTACTGATACACACACACACATATGTGTGTGTGTGTGTGTGTTTTTTTCTGCATGTACATGCATACATACAATACGTACCTACGTACACACACATACATACATACATCGTACGTACATACACACATACATCGTATGTACACACACACATACACACAACACACACACATACATACATACATGCACACAACACATACACACATACATATACACACACAGAGACATACATACATACATTTGTGTGTGTGTGTGTATTTGATTTTTTTTCCCGGGTGGGTGGTGTAATTATAATTGAGAAACCTACGAGGTTGAGCTCAACACAGTGAGCAAATCTATCTCCACCAAATAAATCAAACAGGGGCCTAGTGTATGCACAACAGCCATGCATGATGCATTCTAATATTTCTGATAAATTTCATCAACAGTATGCATGACTTTACCAACACTAGATTCCAATAAGTTTTAAAAACCTTGGCATTATGTTAAGTGTCTACAGGACAAACTCCAAGCATGCATCACCATATGTTCTGTAGAGACAAACACGGATGTGCAATCACCTCACAAAAAAGGCAAGGATTAATCGTGGTTCGGCAAGATGCCTACGTCCACAACCGGCGAGATCGACAATCCACTATTTATCAAGAGGTTACAACGAAGACGGAGAAGATTAGAAACCCTAATCTCTCTCCCTTGCAAAGCCAAAACAAATATCACAATTTCTTGTCAAAGATACATAGAGAAACCCTAGACAATCTTTATTTATAGCCTCCCTCAAAGTTGAGTCCAACTAGCCAAACAACTCCCCAATCCGAATCCAAACAGGACTTGAAACGCATCCAAATCATGTGAAACCCATCGGTGTGTTCAAACTATGTAGTCGACAGAGAGGTCTGGCAATTTGTGGCTCAATATGAGCCACCGGTGAGTGGTTTTCAATACAACCAACTTCACATGTTCCTCATCATTTCAGCACAAAAGAACCAGAATCCACAATTATTGGGTCCATGAAGAAATCTTTTCGGGCAAATTCTGCCTCCACATGAGTTCATCTAGGATCACCCAACAATTTCTGCTCAGTTGATCAACAACTTTTTAGTTGGTAACCTAAGACATAGTCACTGATTACATAAGTGGTGACTGTTATTAATGACATCAAATATTTCCTGCCTATATTTAGTGCCATGAAACCTGATTACCGATAGTAAAAATTTGGTCACCCACTTGCAGTATGATAATTTGAAAACATTAACCGTGGCAATAAGAATAGTTTAGGGTCCTTTTAGCGCACATTTTCAGTTGACAACCTTGTTGATCCTATCGAAACGGCATTCTTGCTTCTATCGCTGGCTAATAATAATATTCTGAAAGGTCAGACTTTTCTAAGCTTTAATCTTAGGGTACATTTCCAACAATTGCAAGGAAATAAACTTGCACGTGAATGAAAATGGGGTTGGTTAAGTAAGTGATTAAGATGTTAAACTTCCCTGATAATGACAATGTCTGACCAGTGGTTGGAGCAGGTCCACAATGGATATTACATAATTACGCTCACTAATTATATGTACCAAAACATGAAATGAATATTACATAATTAGCTTACTCTTTAAAGCACGTGTGAAAAATAGAATGTAATTTGTTCAAGCTAACCTTTACATCGTGACATCGGATATTTTACATGTTCACGTTTTGAGTAGCGCACTTTCAACACTTTCATCAGACGGAATAACGCTAAAGGAGACTTTAGTAATGGGGGCATAAGTCTTGGTGTGCTTAATAAGAGATTCTATTGCTTGCTTGGATAAGAATAAGAGAAGAATTCAAGAAGGCACTTCATCGCGATGAATATTAACTTCACCCCCAACTAGAAGAATGTATGAGCTTCACTTTCAATAATAAAGCTTCACTGATAAATACACCCTATATCAATCATACAACTAATAATGCTAGCGTGAATGTTAGGCACTAAGATATCTGCCTAGCTGGTGATAATAGAAATCTTGATCAAAGCATCCAATTTGAATGAACCTAGCCTACGGGGTGCTCGGCGTATGGGGAAAGTTTCCAAGAACACCTAGGGAAATCTAATTGTTTTCGGATTTTTTGTCCTTTTTTCTGCCAAACAGATGAAAGTTTAATAACATATCTCATCTTCTAGTATTCGATATACCAAAAGAAGAAACTACCGTGGGACTCGAAACTTTCCGTAGGCTCCCTAGAGAATCCGCATTTTCTTTCTTTTCTCCAAAGTTAAATATGCCAAACACACCTCAATTGCCAAAGGAGGATCACGAGAGGAAAGGGTTTCAACTGCTCAAAAATGCGACAAGACTTCTCTATCAACGGTATCAACCTCTCCGGATCCTGTAATACTAAACACACGGCCACTGGGTTTGAATGGTGAAGTAGCTAAGAGCACATGTAAGAGGACAAGGGGTCACCGCTGCATTGAAAATTCTAATAGCCCATGTGCTGAGGATGGGCAAACACATGGCCGGCAACTAGAGAAATCCTCTACTCTCCATGATTCATGGCCAACAAAGATGGTAGATAAATAGAACCATCCACCAATCATTGTCACAAAATGAGGCGTACGCGTCCCATCTCTTATCTAACATAAATAAATCATTCATTCATTCATTTGGCAGATAATCCATTTGAAGTATAAACCAACAGCTCCTGTCAGCCTCACCACTATGGTAAACTCCTCTAACTTAATTAGTAGTCTGTTGATGGTTGCAAACATTTTCAATGAATTTAAAGGATAATGATGTGGTTTAAGCCTTAAACTTCCTTTTCGTTCTCTTAATTAATCAAACGTCAGTTTGTATGATGTTGAGGGTTACACCTTATGTCAAGGGCCTATAACAAAAACAAAGTTGAACGTTGTTTATGCAGTACCATAGAACTGGGATTCCTTTCTTTTCTAGAAAAGAGTTTCCACCTTAGTACTGTGAATTGGAAAAGTAAGGCCAGTGTCCTTAGCTTAGATAAGTTTTTATATTAACTAATTATTTTTCAATTGTCAGATAACCACTTTAACCGAAAGCACAATAACGTAATCAAGAAATATTCACTTCTCACCTTAACTTTCGGCCTGACTTTCGAGGTTTTGGGTCCAATGTCTGTTGGATTTACCATGTTGAGAAAGCTCTATGCCAAATATACAAGCTGGTTCTTTTATTGACTGACAATATGTATCAAGTACTTTTTACACTGACCAGAGGATTTAATTATAAGTTGAACCTAAAATGCAAACCAAAAGTGCTTCAAATTTAAGATCAGGAGCACTCTTTTTCAATGCCCCTCTTGAATGAGGATCAAGTTTCACCGATAAGGTAATATACAATCGTGAAAACGTATTCAAAGTTTTTGATTCCTTTTGATTACTCAAACCAAAAAAAAAGCTTGCTTAAAATATATAAAAAGGCCATTCGCAGGTGTTTCTCTTTTTTCTACTTGAACAGAGTAAACTAAAGCAATAAGAAAATATTTATTTTAAAAAAAACAACTGATTCTATAGCATTAGAAATATACATTGTCAACTTGAGGTAGTGAGCACCTTTAAAAAAGAATGATGATATCGTGGGAACAACTAAATAGTGATTAATAATAAGTAGGCCCTTAGTAGAATATATTTATAGGTCTATCAGCAAACTGAGCATGATGCATTATTGAAAAGGAAATTTACAAGGTAAAAGCAGAGGTTAGAGATGTACTGGTTCTGCTAACTGGAATTTCTTTACCGGTGTAATTCCTAGAGGGCCACCAAAGAAGCTAAGTGGACAGGGCTTCAGGCTTTAGATTTGTTGTCGAGAGATGAACCCCCGTAAATAAAAAAGGGTTTTCTGTAGTCTCCATGCCTACACAAAAGTTAATTATCATGTAAATATTTCTACTAGAATGTGAGCTGGTAAGACGATAACAATCTGGACATAATGCGATGCCGCAACACAAATTGGGTAGCCGAAAATTACTGATGAAGAACTAAACATGAATGGCATATATAAGTTTTAGCAACATACAAAGCAACTGAATTGTGTGAAAAACAAATTTTTTTCGAACCTATCTCATCTTGCGGTTACTCTTCGATGCAGTGTGAAATTTCTGCAGTATTTAACTGCACAAGGATTAGGAAAGAAAAATTACCAATTTCCTGTTTTGAAGCTTATCCATCTCTGTCATCAGGTCTGAGGAGCTGATCAGTTCCACTTGTAAAGTAGGGACTGCAGATACTCATGCTATCAAACAGTGGGCCTTGTATTGGTGATTGTCTTTCTTATCCACTGGGAGACCAGCTAGGATAGAGTCTAATCCAACCGCATCAGTTATATCCAGACACCATGTTTCCTCCTCAAATCTTATCACAAATCTTATTACTGCTACAATTGTGAGCTGCCGTATAAACAATGAAGCAAAAAACTTTTAAATATCAAACACATAAAAAGTCATACACAGTCAAAAGCATTTCAAATTCAATTGATAGATAGACGACGGGCAGATCATCAACAGCTCGAATGTGGAGAAAGATTGGATTTCAGGGGAAAACATGAATAGCGGCCATTTCACTCATATTCATCTTGGAAAATAAAGCAAGTGCAGATAGGCAGAGACATTTTGTAAAACAATACAATGCACAGTATACAGTAAGACTGCTTATGAAAGACCGACCGAAACAGTACGTTGCAAGGTAAAATACACATTGTGCCTGCTGGTACATACTGAAGTTAATGATTTGATATTTAACGTAGCAAAAAAAATACAACATAAAAAACATCCATTTACCATATGCTTCAATAGTTAATTATATTCGAGACTCAACAAGTGAAGATCTAGAAGAACAGTGTGATATACCAAAGTCCAGTCTTGGCCTCTTATAAGCCTCAGATCCTGAGTGTTCTGATTTATTTTTCAACTTCAAATTTCTCGAATGAGATTTCCTTTGTAGGCATGAATTACTGTTGAACCTTTCAGAAATTACTTCTGAATCAGAACCATAATTCCATGAATTAGAATCAGAAAGATCACTGAGTGGAGGTACTGCCATCGAAAGTGGCCAGTCTCTTCTGTAGTTATTGCTAAAATCATTTTGTTCCTCCAAAAGTTTGTCAAGATATCTTCCTTGCAGTTCAATTCTGATCTTCAAACATCTCTGAGCCTGTCAATATATCATCACCTTTAGGGAATTTTGAATTTATAATTAAGTTGGCAGATTCATCATTCTTTTTCTCTAGGGAAGGGACAAGATCTTTAAAGGAAGAACAAAGACATAATTGGCATCTCTCTTCTTTATTTTACTCTGTGTTTGTGTGTGTGTCATCAGATATAAGCAAAAGGAACCAGCAAATTTATATAATGTGTCATACTTTTCTACTACTCCATTTGAAAATAGCTATCTGCTTATGAATGGAAGATGGATTTAGAGATTATACTTTGACTAGCTTAAAATTTTGTAACCTCATTTTAACCCCAGGTGATCTCTAAATCCCCTTAGCTTTCATATTGCGTTATGGCTAAAGTCATGTTTCAAGCTTCAGAATGCTATTCATTCTAGTCAGTTGACGGTCAAAACTGTTTATAAACTCTTCTTATCTTTCAGGTAACTGCTAAACTGTGGTGCTAGAAATGTCAAAAGCAAATGTTTTTCTTCCTAGTGAGAAGTATAAATCCACAAGGTTGAAAGGAAATATTAACTCTCTTCTATCCCAAAAGCTTTTATACAAACCCGTATTATATTAACAGTGAATTGCCACTCATATAACCGAAAATTCTGTATAAAATTAATATCTACCCCTTATTTTCTCCCTGGCTCCATTAAAAATGTAGCTGGTCTTGGATGGGATCGTTCTACCTATATCTCACCTACATTTTATACAAACAATATCTTTCAGCTGAAGATATTGTTATTGTTTATATAGAATGTTGTACTTTACATAGTCACATGATACCAGCATGATATGACATTACTATGATAATAGACACTTTAACCTCAACAAAAAAATGAGTTACTGCATTTAGGTATGTACATATGGCCACAACTCAGTAAATCCTCAAAACTTAGGCCATGGTACGTCATAATGAAACAGGAATAAAAAAAATATTTCTATTTTTTTATCAGAAACCAAAAAACTTTAATTTTTATAGATGGCCTATTATAAATGCCCTATCATACATGAACGACCCAATATTCCTCCAAAGGCCACTCAGTGTTCCCACAAAAGGCCACTTATAGTACATGAAAATACCCTTTAACAGAACCTGAATGAATCTTGTGAACCTCTACAAGTTGGGAAAACATTAGATAAACTACCTTGTTTGTGTGTGTGCATGTGCGTGCGCGAGCGCGTGCTCTCCCTCATTTTCTTCCTCGGAGTTTATGCACATCACCTTGTGTCATTGCTTATGAGTTCTAACATTGACACAATAATAAAATACACAAGATGTTGTGATGACAGCCTTGAAGAAAAAAATTGCACCTAATCGAAAGGTGTAGTTTATCAGTTATAATTTTACACGAGTGAACAACTGGCATAAAATATATGTATCGCTTATTAAAATACGTCAAAAGGAGAAGTTTACATCAAGTTGATTATGTGATTTCCGATGAGCTTCCATATTCATGCGTAAGGCATCACTTATTTGAAGTCGACTGCAAGAAGCGTAAAAAAGACATTAGGCAAGATTGTGAAAGGTGACTTCAATCGTGTCATAAAATTCAATATGCCCACCAACATAAATGCGAAGCTTGTTTGTTTCAGGCAACAATAAAGAAGAGTCAGCAAACATTTACACCGTTTCATTGATAAAGAACAACATAAGTTTCATAGCTTCTAAAAAAGTGAGAACAAAAGCCAAATATACTGCAAGACATTTTCCATATATTGATTTTATAGAATAAAATCAAGGAACACCCATGTCAAAAACAAGGACCAGGGTGTTGTGCTCATAAAGTGATAAAACTATCATAAAAATAAGACTAATTGGTTCCAATATGAACAAAGTAAAGAAGCTCCCACTGAAAGATACATAAAAATGCATTTGTTTCCTGTATTTCTCTGGAAACCTGATGTTATTATAGGATATAAGCTAAAGACTGTAGTATGATATTATTTACCCTGGTATTAGGTTTATTCATTTGGCACCCCATAGACTGAAGTTACAGAATTGTTTCTTTAGTCCCTTAGTTACATATTCATAAGCTCTAACTGTCCACCTACATTGTGTAGCCATCAAAACCCTTTTGATTTTGAATCTAGTTTAAACATCATACTCCCTTTAAAAGCACGAGTTCAGGAAAATCTTTCGGTAGACAAAAAAACCCTTTGAATTCAAATATTATTCCATTAAGTTAAGAGTAAGTTGATAAATTGATGAATTCTTATTGGATATACATAGTATGAAGATAAGGATACAGTTTAATTTAAAATGTAAATCTAAATAAAATTATTAAATGCTAAATTTACAAATGTCTACAAAATGAAGGGCGTATATGTAAAAACTAAATAAATTAATGAGAAAAATAATGTCTACCCTAAAGATCAATCCCGAGAATAACGTAGACCTACAAATGTACATAATGTGGATGAGATATTTACAAAATCCACGAAACAAATTAAAGAGACAAAAGTCATTCTCAAAATTATAAAAAGGAAAAATTAAGGAAAACAAAAAATCATACTCTCTTTCAAAGCACGAGTTTAGGAAAAGCTTTCCATAGTCAAAATTACCCTGTACTATTTTAAATATTTAATTTAAGTTATAATCTATACTAATCATACTTATATCATATCCTAATACCCCATGAACTATCTATAGCTCAACAATTTAAATAAAATTAATAAAATATATGAAACATCTCTGTAGTATCAGTTTATTACATGAAATATTACAAAAAAAATAAAAAGTTTTAAAATTAGACAAAACACTCTCAAAAGTTTAAAATTATACAAAATAAAAAGCTAAAAATTTAGAACTTGGCAAAGAAAAGAATAATTGTGTGATATTCTTTTATTAAAATATATAAATATAACTTACAACTTAAGATTTACTATCCCTTTTTAGAATCTGAAAATAGTCAAGTTGATACTGGTAAAAATTAGTAATAATAACCGATTAAAAATATCCAGTTAAATAATAAAAAATTAAAAAATATATGATAGATTAAAAATTAATGTTATTATTCAAATTAAAGTAACTGCATATAATTTTACTAATATGTTAGAATAGCAAAAATACATAAGTATCATTAATTGATAGAAGACTAAATTGTAAAAAAACTGATAAAAGACTATAATATAATAGCTTAACATTAATTAATTATAATTTATAAATATTTATCTCTAATGGCAATAATAGTTATTAGGTAAAAATTTATAAAGATTTATGTATGGAGAACTATTAGAAAATTTAGAGATATCTTTTAAAAGAATCAAGCGGTTTTCATTTCAAATAGAATTCGGAACGTCCATGAATCACTTCAATTAACACTAACATAAGCTATATTTAGAGAAACAACGACTGAATATCCTCTGAAGAATATATTGAACAACTTTGTTCCCATCAAAGAAACATTCTTAATGAAAGATAAAATAAAAATTACTATGTCATGAGCGTAAGCAAAAAATATAAAATCACGCTTTTTTCTTATATAGTATCACGACCCTACGTGTGATTTTATTTAGGGGTATGACTACTAACGAATGATCAATTCTTAAAGACACGATCAATGATAATGATGTAATAGCACTATTAGAATTCAAGATCTCTAAATATGAAGGTAGTATATTTTATTAGCAAATTTCTCATTAAAGGCCACTAAATATAAAATTCACCTTATATGTCTTAAATTTTAGAGAAAATATGCATGTCATCGTAAATTGCATCAATAATATATATTAATCAAAAGATATAATTTACTAAAGAAATAAGAAAATAGTAAGTAAACCAAGCAAACATTTATATAACACAGTAAAGAAAAAATATTATATTTTAAAGCTAATATGCAACTCTCTTTTAGAGTAAGTTGTCAAGACAAAAGCATCTCCATTAAGTCTCCATATAAATGCAATAGAAATTCAAATTACTAATATATACAACCATTATAACATTCAAAAGAGGTATGATCTTAGAAAACCTACTCTAAAATTCATACAATTAAACCTAAGAATAATTTACTGATCTTAGAAAACCTACTCTAAAATTCATACAATTAAACCTAAGAATAATTTACCAATATACAGACACATTATCGCACCTTTACTACTCTAAAATTCATACAATTAAACCTAAGAATAATTTACCAATATACAGACACATTATCGCACCTTTAGAGAAATGATAACTACCATTTATAATAGAGTTGAGTAGTGGTTCTATGTTTACAAAGGTTGCAATAAGAAAGTGAATAGAGATGTTAATAATAAGTATCCAGATGATAAATATTATAGAATCACCGATGATTTAGTACCAAGGTTAAGTGATATCTCTTCTTCATGAAATAAATATATCAAAATTAAATATTAATATTATAATCTAAAGCAAATTGACAATAAAAACGTAATGTATTTAGTTCAAATCCTCATGAAAAATAACACAGACAGAGCAAATGTAACATTATGACACAGTAGAAATTCTTATTGGATGCACAATAGAAAAATTCATTACAGAGAAAAAAGGTAGCTCCTAACCTTATTTAAGTAATAAATTAAAAGCACAAAAAATTTTATATATGTGAAATTAACATTTATTCTTATTGAAATAGGAAAAAATTAAAGTCTGTATTGTCAGAAGTTTGTGTTGAACATAAGAAATATATTCAACTTCTTTGTGAATTTAGACGTGTATTGTCAGAAGTTTGTGTTGAACATAAGAAATATATTCAACTTCTTTGTGAATTTAGACGAGAAGACAAAAGATGAATGAGCCCAAGAAAAGATAACATGCTCCAGTCTCATATCACAATCGATGTAGACGATGAAGACACTGCTCTAGAATTGTCTAGGAAAAAGATAAAGATGAAGAATGATTGATCTCGACTTAATAAAAAATAAAATAGAAGCAACAAAAGATGATGTTTTGTGAATTGTTATAGAATAGTTTTATTTTTAGTAAAATTAGTAATCTTTAGAAGGGATTTTCATAAACTATTTTTAATGTTTTCATATGCATATGTGGATGTTTTTATCATATAAAATTATACTAGAATTAGCATTAATCTTCAGTTTATGATTTTTTTCATTAATTATTTCTGTCATTTTAGCCCATTTTAAATCAATCATCTTGGCTCGTTGACTTTATTATTTATCTTTCTTTTAATGTTATTTATTTTAAGTATTTTCACTTTCATAACACTATACTTTCTCATGTCAAGCTCGGTTTCATGCTGATACAAATGAAATAAAAATTTAATTTAGCTTTAGATTATATTTATCTTCTGCAATTCAACTATCAACATAAAAATTAAACTGGGTGTAGCCTATTCAAACAAACATCAAATGAATAAATAATTAAAGTGTAATCGATGAACAAATTTTAGTAAGAAAATAAACCAAAAAATACTTAATCAAAGTGAGCAAAAATTACCAAAGAGTAACCGAGAAACAAATTTTAGTAAGAAAATAAACCAAAAATACCTAATCATATTATTTAACCACATGCATTGCACGTGCATGAAATCTAGTAGTCTAAAAAGATAGAGTTATGTGGCTATCATAACTGGATTTTTATGCCATAGCACAGAAGACGAGAATAGTTGTGCAGAGATAAAATTCACTGGAGAGAACTTTATGAAAACAATGGGATAAATGCAGAAAAATATAAATTTACTTTCAAAATTATTCTCAGACTAATCTTTATGAGCTCCCTCCAAAACGTATGCATCATCACAAAAGAAAGGACACCAAATTTAACAAGCTATTTCCATCACACCACTCTAAGCAACAATCAAGTAGTTTCACAGGATAATGAACTGCCCATAGAAATATCCTTTCAAGAGCACGGGATTTTCTGCCTGTTACTCGTCCTTTTTTTTTCTTTCTTTTGTTTCTTCTGCCTGTATACTCTATTTGTCCCTTCACGATCCTCTTATATTAATGAAATATGTTTGTGCCTCACAAAGAACAATTCCAAATTATCTGTGCAAAAGCACATCAATTCTGAACTGTCACATGGATTCTGAACTGTGTGTATGTTTTTATTTATTTCTCCATTATTTTCTGTGAGACTTCAGGAAAGGAAGTAAAGAATGAACATAAAATCAAATAAAAAATCGTGAAGTGGAATGAAAAACAGCACATTATAAGCTAAAAGTGGTATATACACACGCAAAAAAAACTATACCCTACCTAAATCATCAAGAGTCAAGTACACAGTGAAATCAATATAGTACTGATAATAAAATCCGTTCAAACAGTTTGAGTTAACTCACGATGCAGAAGAGAAATTTCGTAAAATTTCTGAAGCCTTGGTTTCGAGCTTGCTTCCTGGTAGGAAAAAAGTGAAGAAAAGAATAAAAATCGGTAGTAGAAAGAAATACAACATACAATGTTCAAGATCTTCGACGTACTATCAGAAGACTCGAGAACAAAGTTTGACATCCTGTATTTCTGAAAAGAAACAAACAAAGGTCAAAATCTCAGCTTCCTTTCCTTTTATAAGACAAGATTAAATTCAATGACAAAATGTAAATCATGTTAAGTTCTTAATACTGACAACAGTGAGTGAAATACAATACAGTAATGAAGAGCACGGTATTTTTCGAAAGTTATTAGTGCATTATTCAGTACCTGCAAGTGGCTCTTAACATGAGTGATGGTTAGTCCAGGCATAGACATGAGCTTGAATATTCCTTTAGGCGTTGCCCCTGCAATTCATGATATAAAAAAAAAATCGATTCTTTTAAAAGGCGAAGCTTAAAGATTCTAAGATCGATTAGAAGAGCATATATATATGGCTAGACCTCTTCATGTACATGCCTGTTAATGCACACATATATGCATGTAAATAAACTTTAACTACCTGAACCTGTTTTCAAAATATTGACCTTAATGAAGTTGATGCCTCTTTAGAAATGATCTCAAATACTTGAAGGGCTTGTTTGGATTGAGGGGAATGAGGGTGAAAGGAAGTTAGGGGAACCATTCACCTCCATTCACCTTGTTTGGGAACACTTAGGAGGGGAATGAGGGTGAAAGGAAGTTAGGGGAACCATTCACCTCCATTCACCTTGTTTGGGAACACTTAGGAGGTGAAGTTAATTCACTTCACCTTGTTTGGGAACACTTAGGAGGTGAAGTTAATTCACCCTAGTTCCCCTTGGTTCACCCCCAAATCATTCTCCCTTTAAAAGAGGGAATACTAGAAAAACTTTTATTTTCCAAAAATACCCTTCATCTTTCATGAAATTAACCAATTTACGCTATGATCATAACTCCCAATCTTATTAAATTACATTAATTAAGTGTTTATACTATAGTATAGCTATTCTTAAGATTATTAAATAAATAAATCAATTATTATAATAGTATTAGATTATCAAGTGTATGATGTTTTAATATACTATAGGAATTAATATTTATGTAATAATGCAACTCCAATTAGATTATAATAGTACAAAATTATATTAAACATTAGATTTTTAATAGTATAAGATTATAATTAACATTTTTTAGTGCTTGTTAGCTACATATAACGTTTATATCTCATCTAGAGTGGTTTTAAATAAAAATTGAAATAGTTAATTATGTAACTCTAATTAAATTAATAATTTAATCGTTATATAATCAAATTGTTAACAATAACTTGGTGTTTATGTGCACTTATATAAAGGCATAGATAAAACGTTTTATTCGAACTTTAATAGGTTATAGAGCCAAAGATACACATACCAAGATAGAAAATAGTTCACACTTCTCTAATTCTACCTTAAGTGGTCCCCACAAAACTCAGGTATTTGAAGGAGTGAAAATTTGATGTTCTTCTAATGGAAACATTTCATAAAGAAGAAAATCAGCAATTTGGAAAACTTCTTTTCGTGCATTAACACTTTTGACAAGTGAGCTCCTCTTGATACATCCAACAAATTATCACAAACCCCTCCAACGTCCATCTGTTTAATTTCACTTCGTGTATAATCTCCTTCCTAGGTCCCCCTCTCCCACTCTTCACATAACAAATACTAGGTCAAATCAATCATACTCTCTTTAAAAGCACGAGTTCGGAAAATCTTTTGGTAGACAAAAAGACCTTGTGTCGAAAGTAGGAAAGTAGGAAATTCACCACAAATAAAGATCAAAACTTGTAAAAGAGTAAAGGAGACAAACACACCAAATTTAACGAGGTTCGGCAACGTGCCTACGTCCTCGGGAGCCACACCACACAATTCTTTTATTAATTGAAGAAGAAATACAAGCTCTTAAAGTAGGGTTTTATCTCTCTGAGATTCTCTCTCTTTTTCTGCTGTCAAAAGCTCTCTTTTTCGTGCTTATTTTCAACCCTAAAAACGTTTAAGGTATATATAGAGTCCTGATAGAAACAGAATCCAAATCTGTTTAGGAAACAGTCTCATTGCGTCGCGGTCGACCGTGGTAGTCGACAGCGCAGGTATCTCGGTC